GAAATATCACTATATTCATGGCCATTTCTCCCCCATCTTACACCAGTGCTATTCTCTGCAGAGGACTAAAGAGTTCCAAAAGCGAAGCAGAGGAAGAGCAGCCCTGCTGAGGTGAGCAAGGAGCCCACCCAGCACTCAGAGCACAGAGTAGGAGGTGGCTGCAGGAGAGATCCAGGCTCCAGCACAGCCTTAGCACTGGACTGGTGTGGGCTGGGAAGCCATCAAGGCAGATTTTCACGACCTCTGTCACAGAGAATGGCATGTGGCCACTTCCTGCTGAGCATCCCCTTATGGTCAGCGGAAAGTGGAATCAGCAAGAAATGGTCCTTCCATCGCCGGTGCTGGGTGGTGACTTGACACCTATCGACGTGCAGGGGGAGGGAGCCGAGCCCACAGAGGATGTGAGCGGAGTTCTGCTCCCCCTGCACTAAGGAAGTGCTGGACAAAAATCGATGTTTCTGTCCACAGATCGTTACAGCCCCCGAGCCCCGGCCCTCGCTGCCAGAGGGGAGGGTGAGCAGCTCTCACAAACCCAGGGCAGCTCCTTGCTGCCAACCTGCTCAGGTGCCTTTTGGTGTCCTCTTATCCTTTCTCTTCAGCTTTTAATTATTTCCTTGTAACAGGTGGGTTCTCATAGGAGCCTGGCTTTCCAGCAGAGAAGTTCTTACGGTGACTGTATTGCTTTCTTAGGTGTCTTTCAAAACAGCAGGGGACTGTCCGTGCAGTTAAACTCGCGTTACTCAGAATTAAGCGCAGCCCAGCGGGGCTCCTGCCCTACTCCGACAGCTGCAATCAAAACTGAAGACACACAAACACCCCTCCATGCTCAAGGCAGCCAGACAGGAGTTAGCTGCACCATATCCCCAGGCAGGGCAGGTGAGGAGCAGAGTCTTGGTGACAGTCAGGACCTTGTCAGACAGCGAGTGCGTCCTGCGAGGCTGCACAGCCCAGGGGATCCTGCACTGCCCTGCCACAGCTCCACCAGTGCTCACAAGACTTTTGCATGAGGAGCCTTCAAGAGATGGCTGGAATTATTTGGAGGACCCTCCTTGGTGTTTTGTAGCAATTCTGGTCACATCTGGCTGCTTCCTTCTGATTGGGAAGCGTTTTGCTGCTTATTAAAGTCAAGGGTTTTGCTTTTTCCACAGTTTCTGAACCTGTTCCTATTCATGTCAATGCCTTCCTGGCAGGGTCACCTGAAAAATGAATTGTACTTTACCTCCTGGCAGGGTAGGGGGAGTGGTGGGAGCAGGAAGACAGATGGATAAGTAAATAAAAGCCTGAATGAAACTGAAAGTGTGACTGAAGACTAATAGCGAGCAGATCTTTTAAACCAAGGATGTCGAGGGAGGGGTGAGACTTCAAAGATCACAGGCAGGGCACGGCATGGAGCAGCTGAATGTGCATTTCAAAGGAGAAGGGTTTGCAGGGCAGGCCCAGCTGGGAAACGGCCAAGCTGCACATCCCCATGGGGCAGAAGGGAGATGTGGTGTTCCTTCACCTTCCCACCCTCCTGGGCAGGAGGAGGAGGAGGCTGGCACAGCTGCTCCCAGGTGCTGAGATGCTCTGAGATGCTGAAACATTTCTTTGATACCGAGCAGGGACCTTTGGGAGTTTCACTTTCAAGCGTCAGCGTTTTGCACACAGGATAAAAATTCCTCAAGTTTTGTGGGGAATTCACACGTGGGGCATGCAGTGGGGAGAGAACAAACACCAAAGCCCAGTCCCAGCTCCTTGCAGCTCAAGGGCTTTCCAAATCATTCCAGCAGAAACCAGGAGAGGTGTCCATAACAGATGCTCATTATGGGATGGTTTTGCTGCTCCTTGACATCCCAGTGAGAGCACAGGGAACCCACCTTGCTGCAGGAATGGGAGCCCTTTTCCCCTCACGGAGGTGTTGAGACAGTATTTCATGTTCAGACAACACTCTCTGATGCAGGGCCGAGCTCTCAGCCCATATTGATGGGCCAGGGGTATTTTTATTTGGCGTCAGCATTGTTTCATCAGCTAATAGAGCTTGTTGACTTTGGCACGGGTACATGAAAGGAAAAGGTTTTATTTATTCATTACACATGCAGCTAAATTGGATGTTTAGTTTAGTTCTTAGCTAAACTTTTCTGAATGACATGTGGTTATAAGGCTTGTACTAAAGGACTGTTTCTCCTGTGGACTGGGTGCTAAAATTGGAAAAAGCAGACAAACCTTTGGGCTAAGAAACCCTTTTCCCTGCACTTTTAGCCCATCTCGTACAGCTCTACCCATCTGTGTCTTCGTACACCTGTTTAGGTGCAAACAAGGGATTGTGGGTTTAGAAATGATTAAAAGCCAAAAGTTTTTAAAATAAGAAGGGAAAAAGTATTGCTTCAGCAATGCTCTTCCAAAAACATTTTTAAAGATGCAGCATGTTCTGGTGGTTAAAGGATGGATTCATCCCTTCTGGTACCCTGAGCAGAGACCCACAGCCCTTTCCCAGCCCACCAGACTTCTAGCTGGTTTAGAGTAAAACCAGGGGGCAAAGCACGAGGTATTCTCAGCCTTTTGAATGCCCTAGGGATCAAGGACATCCTATGGGCTAAGCAGAGCCTGTGTACGAGTCCAATGGAAAATCCTTTCTAAGAAAAGCGGATATTCTCCCTCCTCCTCGAATAAATCAGCACGACCCACTGCTGGTTGCAAACCCATCCTTGGCCGTAGAAAAGGGAGTTGGAACTCCCCATTGCCCTTCATTGTGGAACTCATATGGCCCTGGGGATGATCACTTTGCCTTTATTATTTATATGAATTAAAAAATTCAGCAGCACGAGAAATTCACTCTCCGCTGTCAGATCACCTGTGACACCCCTGGCAGCTTTGTAGGGAGGGAAAGAAGTGATTTCCTTTTCACAGCTGCAAAGCGCTAACAGCCCCTCTTCCCCCTCAAAACCTCCAGCCATTAAATTAACACCTGAAAACTTTGAGGAAAGCCTGGGAAAGACAACTTGCTGCCATTTCCACCCAGAGGAAGGCTTCCCAATCCATCCCTTACACCCATCCTGGTGATGGTTTTGAGTGTGGGAGAAAGAGCTGGATTTGTGAACTTTTGGTTCTGTTCTCACCCTTAATCACTCCTCAGCATCAGGGTTGCTGCAGAGGGCACTGTTTGAAGTCAGGATCAGTGGCTCCTTGCCTTTGGGGCCAGACCCTTGGGTTGTACATTATTAGCTGCTCAGCAAATTACACACTGCTCTTCTGCCACTGAGGCTACTTCAGAGTGCAGCAGGATCTCGGTGTTTTAAAAGGGAAGGCTTCACAGAGAAGTGAAAGAATACAATTCAGCTTCAAATTAGAGAGTGCTGAGCAAACAGGATTTTTCCTCAACAGCCTGTAACAATTTCCTTAAATGCCCAGTTCGGGATTCATATTGTTGTAAAGTGGGATGCTACTCCCCAAACAAGGATCATTTCCACTTGCTGATGGAAAAGACACGGTGATAAAAATGAAGCTGTCAAGTAGATTTAATTGGTACAGTAAGCAGAAAGCTTTCCCCTACCTTGAAGGTGTTCAGGAAGAGTAAACTACTTTTGAGAAAAAATTTGCTCTTCAAAGGAAACTATGTCCAGATGGGAAAACCAGAAGAGAATGGACTGAAGACTTGCTGGGAAGTGTGGCCAGAGTTGGGAGAGCAGTTCTTACAGCAGCTCCAGGTACCACAGCTTTTGATAGGCAACTTTTGAAGCCAAAGGTATTCAGGGAAATCCTTCCTATTTATGTATTTTTAAATCTGCATTGTATTCTATAGCATAGATATGATTTTCCAATAAATTTTAAAAGGATTTCTCCCTACAGAAAATCCTGTCTGAGTGGGAAGGAGTGCTCTCCTACCACATTCTGGTTTCCCTGAGTGAAAGTCCAGCTCTAACCTTAGTTTCAGATCCCAAACCATCCTTTTACCATCAGCCTTTTGAGATATGGAGCTTCAGCTAACCCAGTTACTCAGGCAGTTCAACACAGAGAGCAGGTTTCTGTGTTGGAAAACACCAAAGAGACTTTTTCCTCCCCAAATTGCACTGTTGTCAGTTGGTGCTGGGTCACCATTTTCCCCCTCTTCCAGGCAATGCCACCAGCATGCCCAGAGGGGACAATTGCAGCAGTGACCCTGCTCCCACCTTGCTCCACTGCCCTGCCCTGTTTGGCACCAGTTCTGCACATCTGCTCTGTGCTACCCATGGCCAGGCTTAGGGGAACCTCTGCCCTTTGGCTCTGGGGGGATTTCTGCCTTGGTCAGCTGTGGCCAGGCAGGCTCCAGCCACAGGAGGGCCCTGCCTGGGGCTGCTGGCCCAGGAGCTCAGCAGAGTCACCAGGCTGGCTCCCACCCATGCAGGAGCCTCTCCATGCAGGAGCAGCCTTCCCTCTGCTCCCCTCTGGAGCAGCTCCATGCACGGTGCCACCACTGCAGCCTCTGCACACCCCAGAGCAGTGGCTCTGTGCTGAGCTCCACGGGGATGCTGCCACCACCGTGTCCAGTCCTGCCTTGACACTTCCATGTCCCAAAGGGAGAATCAGCACAGATTCAACTGGTTTCTATTCCAGCCAGAGGGTTTGTAACTCCCCATCTGCTGGCTGAGTCAGCTGCTTCAGCTCTGTAGTGCTGCCAGTCTGGAGGTTTGGGGAGCCCTGTCTAAGGAGAGGATCACTGTCGGGGTCTCAGGGACAGCCAGGACATGGTTTGGGCTGACACAACTCCATCCAAACCTCTGACAGGCACCTGCTGAATTGTTCCCCTGAAACAGAACATAAAGCAGCCAAATGCTTTGCACACAACAGCAAAGGCAGAGCACTTGACACAGCAGACAGACACAGGAGCCCTGATCAGAGGGTGGAGTGGGCTCAGGGGTATCCATTACCCAGCTGTAGCCCCTCCACAGAGGCTCTGGGGAACATCTGCACCTCCATTTGACGAGCACAGCAGAACCTCCTCTCCCTCCCCTTTCCCACCCCCGGGCTCTGCATCCTGCCCTCCCCCATTCAGACTATCAGGGCCTCTCTTAGAGAATAAATTATTAATAGCGGCGTAGCGAGCCTCTCTGCAAAGGCTGCATGTATTGAGCTTACAAGGCGCACAAGCTTTTAGAGAGCAGGACACTTTTCCTACTTCCTAAGCATTTTCTTAGTCCTGAATCAATAATGCACTCGCAGCCCTGCACACAGGTCGCTGCTGCTGTGCTCCTGCTGCTAGGGGCTGCGGACACAAATACATCTCTGTAGCAAGATGCAAGGGCTTAATAATCTGGCAGGGAAGGGATGGGGCAGAATCCAAGCAGCTTAATTTGTAAACAAGCTTCAGGGAACTGCCCTGGGAAGAGCAAAGCTTGCAAGTGCCTGGTACAGAAAGTCTGAGTTTGGAGACAAGCTAAAAATCAGTCAATGTGATTAAACTGCTGCATTTTTGAATGCGTGCCCGTGGCTGCCAGCTGAGGAGTGCCTGGTTTATCAGCCTCTGATCCCAGGCTCCAGGTCACCCCGCAGCCCCCAGTGCCAAAGGGGGAGGTTGAGGGGTGCAGCAAGCAGGGAGCTGGGGGTGGAGGTGAGCCTGGGGCAGCAGGAGGGATGGGGTTAGAGCGGCTCACCGGGGGATTAGCAGTTCACAAAGAAAGAGCTGCTCAAAAATGATTCCATGGGAGGCCGGGCTGCTGCGGGTGGTGTGTGTGTATCCCCAGCACAGATGAGATTATCTGCTTAGGAGTGGAATTTTCCGGGCAGCATTAACCCTTGTGCTGCCCCCAAATCAGCTGCACAGTCGGGACAGGGCGCTGGGCAGGGGATCCAGCGGCTGCTGCAGCAGAGCTGCTGCCAGGCCATCCCAGGGCTTTGGAAATGGAAGTGCTGCTTCCAGGCCACTCTGCAAACAGCATGCTTGGGGCCCTCCTCAGAGAGGTCACCCATGGACTGGGCTGGTTTCAGGCTGAAGGTTGAAATTCCTCATGTAACCAGATTTTCTGTTTCTGGCTTAGCCAGAGTGGGCGTGAGGGGATTTGTGTCGGTGCAGGAGCGGTGCTGGCTGTGTTGTGAGGGTGGACAGGTGACTGGGGTCAGCCCTTGTGCGTGAAAAGCTGTATCTCCCTCTGCATCCTCCCTTTGTGGAAAGGATGCTTCCCGCCTGGGTGTCACCCTTTTGCCGAGGCTGTGTCATTTATGGTGCAATGACCAGTTCAGACCCTTTCCATGAGGTGCTGCCAGACCACAGGGAGAGCTTCAGACAGGGCGTGGGATGAGAGCAGAGATTTCCTTCAGCCTCACACAAGGCTGGGTGAGGGAGCCACTGCTTTGCCCTGCTGCAGGCGCCTGGGGGATTTCAGTTCTCAGGAAAGGTGGAGTCCTCAATGCCTGGTGAAGCCCAGAGCTGCTCCTGAAATCCCTCCCTGCCTCAATTTCCCCAGCTGGAGACAGGACACTGCCCTGCCACCAGCCCACCCTGTCTGGCACGGTGATGTCTCCCCAGGGCTGGTGGAGAGAAGGGCACAGCGCTGAGCCTGGATGAAATACAAACAAGATGCTTCTCGAATTCAGAGCAGGCTGGAGGGGGAAGGGGAAGAGCAGCCACGAGTAGGGCTTGAATCTCTTCTCTGGCGGAGAGACGGGCCCAAGGGAGCCCGAGAGCCATGAACGAGCGGCGCTGCTCGGTGAATGAGTATCTGCTTCAGGCCAAAGGGAAGAGGCAAAACAGCAAAATGTCTCTCTGAGTGCGTCCCCGTGTCTCGGCCGGAGCCGGGGTCGGTTCTGCTGACTCACGCCCGGCCAGGCCCCGCACGCAGGCCCGGCCTGTCCTGAGGCCTCGGCCAGGGGTCACCTTGTGCTCGGACAGCCGCGGATCCGGCAGGAACGGGAAGGAAGCGGAGGAGCGATCAATCCCCCAAACCACGGCCGGGGAGGAGATGGTGGGTGTGACATTCGGCTGAGCCAGAATTAGCAGCAGATCTGTGGAGGGACCCCATTTCCACCCTATTAATAATTCATTCCAGCTCTGCCTATACCTGCTCATAAACAGCAAACAGCTTGTTAGCGAGGATGGTTTTCTCCCCTTTTGCTGTCTCTGCCTTAATAAGAGCCCCTTGCAGATGGCTGGGGGAGGGAGGGGGCAGGAGAAGGACACACGAGCGAGCAGAACACCCCACCAGCCCTCCCGGAGCTTTGAATCCTATCCTATCCAACCCATCCCGAGCTGCCCTTCCCCTGCAGAGATGAAGCTGCAAAATAACCGCTCACCAAGGCCCAGGTGCCTTGCCAGAACCTTCCTACCCACATGGGCCACCTCAAAACATCCCTTTGGAGGGGTGCTGGGAAGAGGAGGGTGATGCCTGGGGGATGTGCAGATGAAGGTTTTGCTGGAGCATTCCCGAGTGGCTCAGGCAGCCCATGGGAAAACTGTACCTGCCATCTTCTATCTTATGAGACAGCTCCTGTCTTATCTAAAACACAGAGAGCTTGACCAAAGAGGTCTCTCAAAAACAGTAACAAAAAAAGGTAGGAAATATAGCATCTTGAAGAAAGACTCCCCAGAGTCTCCACAGTCCAATGCTGTGCTGCTGGCCCCATTAGGGACCGCTCCCTGCACACTGACAGGAATCCCAAAGATTCAAGTTCCAGGTTCAAGTCACAGCTGTGCAGTGGGGAAAGGCCATGACCCACTTGGGGGAGCAGAGGAATCAGTGCAAGAAGAGTGGACCTGGCCAGGCAAATCCCAGTGTCCCCCCATGTCCCTCAGAGGAGGGCACAGACCTTCACCTGGGCTCACAGGGAAGGGGATCTGTGGGGCTCTTTGGCACAAGAGGGGCCTTATATTCCTCCTGATCCCTCTCCCTGCTCCCAGCCCTCTCTGCAGTGAGTTATGCCACTTGCCAGCTGTTGGAAATAATCACTATAAATTAATTACGGTTGTTTCACCCCTCTGATCCCTCCCAGCCCATGAATAGAGTGAAAATTAATTGTCAGAGAGTATTTCCAGCTCTCTTAGAGTCCCACTCTGGCCACTGGCAGGTTACAGTTTATGCCCTAAAGCATAAGATTTAATTACTCACAAATGTTATTTTTGATCATAAAATCACCTTGTCTTGTCATAAATCCAGACAGAGCAGTTGAACCCTCAGATAAGGAGCAGCAAGAGTGAAAACACCCTGAAATGTCATTAGGATGAGCCTGTGTTTTCTCCTGGGTAAATGCAATTCTGTTTGGGAAGCAGCATCACATCCTGGAGTGATTATTGGAAGAAAAGCCAAGGAAGTCTCCCAATACACACATCACTCAGGGTGGCCCTTGTCAGAAATTTGTGTTGCAGAAAATAAGTTGAACTCTGTGTCACTGGGGAGGTTAAGGGGGGTTGGCAGTGGAGCTGGGGTCAGGCACCTTCCCTGCTCAGCGAGTGATTTCCCTGTGCTGACCGACACCAGAGCAAACCCAGAGCCCAGCCAGGAGGGAACAGAGATCCCTGAGAAGCCCTGGCATCATCAGGAAAGCTGAGGCAGGGGATGGAAGGGAAGTGAAGCCCCACAGCTCAATCTCAGTGGGAGCTGGGGGCACTCAGCACAGTGTAAATGAGGAAAGAAAATGTCCTGGCAAGGTCATTTCAGCTCCCATCCCGCAGCCTGTGGAGCCAGTGGATCCAACGTGCTGCTGGACAGGGGAAGGGAGAGGGGAAAATAAAACTTTGGGAGGAATGTGTTCCAGAACATCCACGGGACAGGCAGGGATGGAATGGGCTGGCCCTGCTCCCCTCTGCAGCTTGGGGACCCCTGTGTCTCGTGGCCACCAGCCCTCCCTGTGACAGCCTGGCTGCTCAGGGAAGGGGAGGCTGCAGGACACCTGCGGTGGCACTGCTCCACAGCAGGGACTTTGTCAGGACAGGAGGGATCAGGTGCATCTGGAGATTTTGCTGATCCCTATTTTTTTGCAGGATTTGGAGGAAATTTGATCCCAATTTCAGGACTCGGTTGCGGCACAAGGAAACGCAGGGAATTTGTGAGCCTCATCTGCTGACCTTTGAGCAGAAATTCAAAGGCAGTGTTGTAGGTGTCCTGAGGGAAGCAGAAGGGCCTTGGGTGTCCTGAGGGAATCAGAAGGTCCTTGGGATGCTCCTGAGAGTGTCTTAAGCATCGCAGCTGGATGGGGTAGGGGTGGGTGGGGGCTAGAGAGGGAATTTTGCCCTCCTGGGTAGAGGTTCAGACCAAGGTTTCCTTGGTCACAAGCAGTCCTCAGAAGAAGGGAAGGAGCTTCCTGTGCTGTCACCTGCTTTTCCTGGCTCTTCAGACTCTTTGGGGGTCTATCAAACAGCTCCCAGTCCCAACCAGCACCAGATTTTGCAGGAGAGCCTGGAGACACCCAAGAGAGCCATTTCTTACAAGAAAAAAACACTCCAGAAGAAAGTACCCAAGAGAAACCCACACAACAGCACCAATCTTTGTTCTGAAGAAATACATTTAATTTTTCTTCTTTAATAAAAATCTTCCTAAAATACACAGAGGATTTCCACCCCCCCACCCTCAATTAAAAAAGTACAAAGATTTTTTTTCCAAAATTCATCCAAGTTGATGAGACCTTGTCATCACTCTTACTAGGAGACTGTAATTAAAAACAAGCGGTCTCAGGGTGCTTTAGGTTTTAGCAGAGGCCTTGGCTTAAACACAATTCCATCAAGCAGAAGAGACCCCCAAATGCAAAGGAAGTCCAGGAGGGTTCTCAAGACACCAAACAAATCACACCAGGTATGAGAGCTGTGATTGAGCATCCTTGGCTGAGCAGTACAAACTCTCACATCATCTACTCATTTTTCCTTTCCAAATCTTGTTGAGGTTTTTTTTCCCCTTTAATATGATTATTATTATTTTTCTTATTTTTCTTCACTGTGCAGCTAGTGGTTGCAATTGCTTTCCAGCTTCCCTTTGGCACGAAGATCTGAAAGCTGCAGTCTTATTTCTGTGCAGCTCTCACCATTCACAACAGATGTCTAGTTTGTTTAAAATATTCAACGGCCTAATGATTAATCAAGCAATTGCATTTAAAAAAATATATAATTTTATGCTGTGAGGCTTAAAAATGGTATTATCTGCTAGGGAAAAAAACAAAAACATAAACAACTTTTGTGCTCATTAAGAGCCCTAAAAACCATCTGGGCTTTGTAAAACTGAGGCCTTTTGTTGTGGTTGGTTTCCCCCATTCCCCCCCTTCCCAGCAAAGTGGGGAGCAGCTTCTCTGCAGCATCCTGGATTCTTGTCATTCTGCTTTGTCAGACCAAGATTTTGTTTCTTAAGAAATCCTCCTCTTCAAGGAGCAAGTCTCTGCTGTCACCTTCAGAAAGTCCCTTTTGCAGCATTTCTGCCCAGAACTGACTCCAGGCACCAAGAAGAGGCAAAACCCAAGGGCTGGGTCAGCAGTCTCCAGGGCTGGGACACATTTCCAGCTCAAGGACTGGGCCCATGGGAGTCTCCTGAGTGCACCTGGATCAGGGCAACCCCCTGATCCAGGCTGGGGATGAAGAACTGAGAGCAGCCCTGCCAAGGAGGATTCAGAGTCCCAGGATCTGAAGAGGGCCTACAGGAAAAATTGGGAGGGCTCTTTATTATGAATTGTAGTGTTAGGACAAGAGATAATGGTTTTAAACTAAAAGAGAGCAGATTCAGATTAGCTGTAGCAAAGAAAACTTTCATAATGAATGTGATAAAATACTGGCATGGTAAAACCTCAAAGGTGGCGGATGTCTCATCCAGGGAAAAATTCAAAGTCAGGTTGGATGGGGCTCTGAGCAGCCTGATCTAGCTGAAGGTGTCCTTGCCCATGGCAGGGGGGTTGGACTAGGTGACCTTTAAAGGTCCCTTCCAACCCAAACCATTCTATGATTTGGCTCACAGAGGCACAACCTTACCATGGTGCCATTTTTTAGGACACCTTGTCCTCAATGAGGCTCTCATGGTTTGTCCCCTGGAGATTTGCCTTTTATGGCTGAGCTGGGGCTAAGCAAGGCTGCAACACTCTTTAGTACAACCCCAAAAAGTGCACAACCAGAAGAGCTGGAGAGCCTGAAATCTGCAATGTTTAGTTGCTGTGAGGACACTCACGACTGATTTAATAGCATGAGACTCAAAGTAAACTGGTTTATTTTAAGCTCGCTGAGACCAAGTTTGCCTGGCTAATGCATCCTGACTTTTAGATTGAAGACTTAAATATCTCGAGACTTTGGACAGATTCTTTGGAGGACACACGGCTTGGAGGAGGAAACCAGATTCAAAAATAATACCTGGAATTGTTTCAATAGTGCTATATCTGATCTTACCAGGACCAACGGAGCAGCCAAAATGTGGCCATCTGTTTCCGCTCCCCCCTGCCCTCCTGGCTAACTCCAAATAACCTCCCCAGCAGAAAAGGCATTGAGCATCCCACAGAGGAAGGACAATTCAATAAACCTAACCCCAAAAAGGAACACTTCATTTTAGCAGAGGAAGCCGTAGTGATGTGACTCACTCAGTGGCTTTTGAGGCTCTCCCCCACCTTGCAGCGCTGTCACTTGGAGGTTATTTTTGTGTTTGTCCTGCTACAACCAAGCACCTCTTGAGCCATTTGTCTCCCCAGAGCATTGGGGTGGTTAAAGACACTTTTGGGGGTGCTGCCTGCTGAGCTGAGCGCGCTCCCAGGCTGGGATTGTGCACCTCCATTCCCTGGGATAAGCATATGGCAGACAGGCAGAGTTTTCACTCTGCTTTTCCCTCCTCCTGACCCAGCAGGGACATGCCTGGCCAGCCTTGTTCCTCCAGACAGGACATGGTGAGGGGGACCATGCTTGGACAGACCCAGTTGCTTCCCTCCCTGCTCCAGGGAAATTTGTACCAGCTCTCATCCTGGCCAGCCTTTTCTGGCATGAATAATGTTTCCTTATTGTGGTTTTTTCGGAGTCCTTCGTTTAATTTGGCCACTCCAAAGAAAGCATTGATAGGAGCATCATGCACAGCCCTGGAGGTGGCCACAGTGGCCATGCTGGGGACAGCTCAAGTGGCAGATACTCAATGAGATTCATCCCACACCAGCTCAAGGGCTGTGGCTGCTGTACACAAGGAAAGGGAGGCTCATGGTGTGTCTCTTGCCAGGACAGCTCTGAGACACAGACTCTGCTCAGACAGAGCCACTGAGTAGCAAGGCAGGTTTGTCAGGGAGTTTTCTGCTGTCATCCCAAGTCAATTCTCCACCCTCCTTCAGACAAGTGGTAAAAATGGACATTGGGGATGGTCTTTTCAGGGCTGTCCTATTAAGCCATCTGTATGGCCACATTGACAGGAGGACCATACTGCAACACAATATGTCTCTTCAGCAGAGGAAACACACTCAGAGCCCCCAGCACTTCAGCTAAGGGGGATTCTTCTGCCTTTTCCCTCAGCCACCACTGTAAAGCTGCACTGAGAAGCAGCTCCATCCCCAGCAGGAAGCTGTGTCTCATTAGCAGAGGTAAACAATTCCTCTGAACGTGACGAGTCAGCAGAGCATATTTAATATGTCAATATCTCAGGGTTTTTTAATCCCTACTCCAGAACAGCTAGTTGTGGCAGGAGAGGACCCCCCAGCATGGCTCAGAGTCCCACCACAGGCCAGCTGGCATCTCCCCCTCTTTGAGGGGGTTGTGGGGTGCCCTCACCCCTCAACCTCACCCACCCGAGCAAGCCTGAGCACTCCACTGATTTCCCTTGCTCAGTTATCAGAGCTGCAAATAAACTCAACAAGCAAACAAATAAATTATCCAGCTCTTTGCTTTTAAAACATCAACCCAAGCATCCATTTGAGTAACCTCCCTGCTGCAGGGTGAGCACCACACTGCAGCCCAGCAGCTCCAGTCCCAGCCCTTCCCTTCCAACACACACAGAGGTGGCAAAAACCACACATGGCCCAAGCTGAGGCTGTGACAGGAGGAACAAACCCCAGCACGGCATTTGCAGCTTCACTGCCAGGCAGGGGTGTGTCAGAGCAAGACTGGGTTGAAAACAGTTTGAGTTCTGACCTGTTTTATCCTGTGCTGCTTTCCCCAGCAGCCTTGTGCACACACACAAACACAACGTGTGCTGTATTTACGGGAGTCCCCTCGTGTCCCCAAGGCTGCCTCCCCTGCACAGAGCCTGCTTCTCACGTACAGATCAGTCACTTGCTGGTTGGTTTTCCCCCTGTGCTGACAGAGCAGCCCCCTGCCTTGTTCACATTGCGCTGCTCACATGCTGCTCCAGACACAGAATTATTTCTGTCCTCAGGAGTTTTTCAGGGTGCTGTGGCCTCCACTGACTTTGCAAGTTGTTTGCCTTCAGTGCACATCTCTGAGCTCTGAGGAGGCACCAAAGGCCCATTTTACAGACATGAGTGGAGAAGCTCTGAGTAGTTTCCAAGACTTTTGGTTGCCTGGCTGGAGGTGGCAAAGCCCAGATTTTCCAAAGCATGTTGTATTACTCAGAGGTTTCCACCTTCAAAGCACAGCCCCACTTGGCACCCAAGAGCATCCACATGTACAAGCCAGATCCCCTCTGCCATGACTGGGTGTGCACAGGGCACCCCAAAAGCAGCTCACAGGCACTCAGACTCCAAAAGTTCCCTAGGTCAAAGCAAGCCATGGAAACAGGAGCAGCCTCTTTCCACACTTGCAGCAGCCAGAGACACAACCAACCTGCTCAGATCCAGCCCTGCACCTCATTTTTTGGAGCTTCCAGGTTCCAGTATCAGCTCCCCACACCCTGGCACAGCCCCGATGCTGCAGGAAGTCCCCAGGGCCAGGCAGGAACACGCTGGTCCCACACATAGCACCTCCCCATGGCTTCCAACCATGCCCAAAGCACCCACAAACCAAAGAACACCCAGCTCACTCTTACCTTGAAAGCTGCTGTGCTCAGGAGAGCCAGACCTCACTCCCCAGCAGGCTCCTCACCCCCAGACAGCAGCTCTGAGCAGCTCCAGCAGCTTTATCACCTCCTCCTGTGCCAGGTGCCTCTGCCTTGCTGAGAAGGTCCCACAGCAGCAGAGCCCACTGTCATACCAATCCCTCTCCCTCCCCAATCCTCTGGATTTTGATTCTGAGAGGGAGGCAAAGCGACAGCAAAGAGATGCTTCATATGCAAAAAAAGGATTTGCAGTGTGTTGCAGAGTTTTTTGTGGTCTGTACCCACTAGAACACAGACCTGCACAATCCCCAAGGCAGCTGTGACCCACATGCTCACTGCTGGAGGCAGAGGCTGCAGGGCAGTGATGCTGGGCTTTAACAAACATGGGTGGGCAATAAATGCATTGGCACAGCTGCCCACCCCCAAAACTTCAACCTTGACCTTGACACTGTCCTGGTGCATCTCAGCACATGTGGATGTGGAGGTGTGTCCCTGCAAAACACACCAGCCTGGCTGTGCACTGGCACTTGTGGGCAAAACAGGATGGCTCTCTCCCACCGCTCAGGCCTGGAGGCAGCGGACATTGTCACCTGGATGGGATGAGCCATCCTCCTCATCCTGTTCCCTGTGTGTAGGTGAGCACCAAGGCACCAGGAGCACAAATCTCTGCTCTTTCTGCTGCTGCTCAGTTCTCTCCCAGCTTGGAGCTGGAGAAATTTGGCTCTAGCTGTGCTCAGAGGCACTGGGGGGATGGTGTGTCCCCGTCCTTTTCAGCATCAGGAGCCATGAGAGGCAGGGGTGTGCTCAGGAGATTTTAGCCACTCAATTCCTCCAAGGCAGTGGGGATGAGCACAGCTTTCTGTAGGCTTGTAAACTGGCCAAGCTTAGCCCATGTTTCTCAGAGATCATCTCAGGGAAGGAGCTTTCTATGAAAATTGCCCCTGTGCCAAATCGAAAAGCCCTTTCCCAAAGGGCCTTTCAAAGGAAACAGCTCAGCCGTTCTTACAGCTGAGGTAAAGCTGCATCTTTCTGCCTTAAATTCATTCTCAGAAACAGCATCCTCCCAAGCCAGGCCCCTGGCACCCTCCAGCTCAGCCCAGCAGTTAACGTTTGACATAAGCAGCCAAAGGCAGGGCCCGTGTGCCCACGCTGCCCACGCCACGCCCAGGCTTTGCTTTCCTCCCGGGTGATCATTTTTGTCGTTCCAGGAGAACCCGTACCTGTGCAGCGACGAGTGCGACGCCTCCAACCCCGACCTGGCCCACCCGCCCAAGCTGATGTTCGACAGCGAGGACGAGGGGCTGGCCACGTACTGGCAGAGTGTGACGTGGCGCCGGTACCCGGAGCCGCTGCTGGCCAACATCACCCTGTCCTGGAACAAGAGCATCGAGCTGACCGACGACATCGTCATCACCTTTGAGTACGGGCGCCCCACCATCATGATGCTGGAGAAGTCTCTGGACAATGGGAGGACTTGGCACCCGTACCAGTATTATGCAGACGACTGCATGGAGGCCTTCAGCATGCCAGCACGGAGGGTCCGGGACCTCTCCACCACCAGTGCCAACAGGGTCCTCTGCACGGAGGAGTATTCCCGCTGGGCGGGCTCCAAAAAAGAGAAGACCGTCCGGTTTGAGGTGCGGGACCGCTTTGCCATCTTCGCTGGCCCCGACCTCAAGAACATGGACAACTTGTACACCCGGCTGGAGAGCGCCAAAGGGCTCAAGGACTTCTTCACCGTGACCGACTTGCGCATGAGGCTGCTGAGACCCGCCCTGGGCGGCACCTACGTGCAGAGGGAGAACTTGTACAAGTACTTCTACGCCGTCTCCAACATCGAAGTCACTGGCAGGTAACAGCCACTGGGTTTCTTTGGGCATCTCTTCTCAGAGGGATGAGAAGAGGGTTCTTGCTAGAAAACAGAGCCATCAGCATTTCTGCTGACTGAGAGATAATCGTTTCTCCCTCTGACACCCCTTCTCCCCAGGCAGGGCAGCAGATGTGTCCTTGCAAGGAGTGGCTGGGGCACCTCCAAGGCTGTGTCCTCCTGCAGCTGGTGCTGGGGGAGCTGGGACATGGCTTGGATGGACACTCAGGGTCTGAGTTCCCTCCAATAGCCTGTCCCAGCTGTGCAAACACGGCCAGCCATTGCCCAGCTGTCTCAGGGGTGATGCTGGTGGATATGGGGTGTGGAATGAGGCTCACCCCACTAAACTCCAGCTCACTGCCAGTACAGGCAGGGTGGGTCATCCCCAGTCAGTCCTGCACACCCTGAGCAGCTCCAGCTCTGGCAGATGAAGTTTGGGGTGCAGGTAAACCCCCTGAGAGATCTGGGGCAGAGGGAGCAGGAGGGGGTTTGTTTCTCCTGGATTTTGTTTTTCATTTCTCTATACGATGCCATATGTTACGTTATGACATCAACCAAAAAAGCAAAGTAAGGTGGAAAAATGCCGAGATGGCTGATTTCCCATCCAGCTTGTGAGAGACTTACAGGCGAGAGGGGAAAAATCCCCCCATCACCCACCCATGCTAACAAGCATCACCACAGCGACAGAGGAGCCGTTTGTATCGGTTCCAAACTGTTTGCTTCTGAGACTTGCAAGTAGAAATGTCTGCAGGTGCCACTGAGGCTTTGAAAAGGCTCCAAGGGGAAGGAAGCTGCAGTGAGGGATGGGAGAGACCTTTCCACCCGCCAGGGCAGGCAGGAGGCAGCGATGAGGGTTTTTCTCACGGCATGGTGCCTGTCTGGGACAAGCAGCTGTGGCTCTCAGCTGGGTTGGGGGCATTTTGGGGTGCACACAGTGGGGATTGCTCAGGGAGCAGCCCTGGGTGGCTCAGACACGTGGGCAGAGGGGTGGGAGAACACCTCCACATGTGTCTGGTAAATTAGGACTAAATATTTGATGACAGCGAGCTTTGGCTTCCAAGTGTGGAGACCAGCAGAGATAACCAAGGACTTGTTACTGCTCCCGCAGCAGCCTGGGGAGACTTGATGCTTCAAAGAGTTAAAATTCTCTTGGTGTCCTGTGAACACCTTCCTCCTCCGAGCCATTTGCCTTTCCTGTCTGCCTTGGGCAGGATTTGTTGCTTCAGTACTTTGGACTTCAGGCCATGCTGGTAGGATTCTCCTCAAACCAGCACCTTACTCTCAGCTGTCCTCCTCCCCCCTCCCCAGCCCCCCATCAGCTTTTGAATTCGCTGGCCAAATTTAATTCCATTTAATAGCAGCAGAGTTTGGTTCAAGGCAGAAAATCCCTAAAAATTATGTGCAAAGAGGCAACTAGGGAAGGGAAGGGAAGGAAAAACCCTTTCAAACACACCCCGCGCTGGAGCAGCCGCAACCTCTACCAGACATGCAAAATTCCACAGCCCGAGGGCAGCTGGAGGCGGGGATGGCCGGGCTGCGAACGCCCTGTGGAAGCTGCAATGCTGCTTTTTAGCCGGGGCCAACACGAGACAGGTTGGGGTTTGTCGGCTGATCCCTGCCGGCCTCTCCCGGCGCTGGCTCGGTGCCGCCGTGGCCGCCTGCCCGCGGCTGCTGCAGCGGCTCCGGCTCCGCCGCTCCCCCCTTGGCTCCGCTCACCGAAACCTGCCCGACCGCCTCCCCCAGGGCAGCACGACAGCGGGGAGCAGAGGCCTTTTCCTTGCCTGGGAGCAGGGAAAACTCTGAAATCGGCTTTTATCGGCCCAAACTCCGAGTTCTGAGGAAGATGCGGCTTTGCGCTGCTCCAGCTTGTTGGGCTGGTTCCCAGGAGAGAGAGGGATGCTCATCCTGGATAGGGAAGAGGGCAGTGCCTGTTCTGTGCTGACTCTTCCAGCCCCGTGGGCACAGGGCAGGGGAGGTGAGCAGCTGAGGAGCTGTGGATAAGTAGTGTATAGGATGAAGAAGCTCCCTGTGAATTAACTCTGCTCCTGTGATTTTTTCCAGTCCCAGCAAGCAGGTTTTTCACTGAAAAACAATCTATTTCCAGCTGTAAGCAAAGCCAGCTATGGTGCAGGGACTAAAACCAAATTAAATCTATTGTATGGCTCAACAAGGGATGGGTTAATGAGAGGAAGAGAGGAGAAATCAATGGGAGCCTGACAGGAGCACGGTGCAGGGTGGGCAAGGATGGGGATGGACACACACTGCCTCTTCCAGGACATGTTGGAGGAACAGCAGGAAAGTGCCTAGATAAAAGTGGGGTGGTGTTAGGAATCCACTACAGGGGGCATGGAAACGAGAGGGAAGATGATTGTGAAGAAGTGAGGGGTCAAGGGCAAAACTCAGCCAGAAAATTCCCCCTGGAGAGAGGAGTGAGCAGCCCTGAGAGGCTGAAGGAGCCTGGCCACAGTGTGTGCCCTCGGTGTGTGGCATTGCCGTGTCCCCGTAGCACACCGGGATTTTGGCAGTGCTCACAGGGTGATGAGGCACTTGGCAGCTCATTTCCAGTCGGTCAAGGGAAGATCAAAACACTTTGCCCTCCGAGCAGACTATGAGCCCAGGTTCTCAGTGGTGCAGCCTGCACCGGATCACTGGTGGGTTCAGAGAGCTTTCTGTGATCCCCTCAGTCCAGGTACTCCCCATCCAAGCACACCCCATCCTTCATGCCTCAGCTTCACACCAAGGAAAACCTCTCACCACAACCTCCCAGAGCTTTTTGGAAAAGCAGGAAGAGACAGAACAGAGGGCATGGGGACAAGGGAAAAGAGTTTTCTGCCTTCTCTTGTCCTGTAAGCCAGAAGATCTGGTGAATCCTGGCAGTCACTGCTTCATTCCTGGGTGTTGGTACAGTGGACTGGTCCCTCAGGGTCTCCTCTGCATCTCCTCCTCCCACAGCCTCAGCCAGGTCCATCTCTCTGCTCATGGCTGACAGTTTATTTTTACTCTCTTTCCTCTTGGTATCTTTTTCTTTTCTTTTTTTTCCCCTTTCTTCTTCCGTCCTGTCCCTATTGATCTGCAGAGTAACTGGAGATGCAGAAGAGTCAGGACAGGAATAGACACAAGCAAGCCCTTGGCCTGTGTGTTGTGTGTGTGCCAGGCAGGGTGGGGAAGTGGAAGAACATTTCCCCACAGATCTCTATTCACTGCTTCATTTTCTCCTCGGTGCAGCAGTGAGCTCAGGCATGGGTGAATGAGCTTTCCCTGGCTGCCAGGGCTGTGCTGAGAGTCACTGGTTCTGCTTCCATTCCACACTGGGTCTCTCTGGAGTAATTTCTTCCCCTTCATAATGTCAGTCACTGCTGTGCTCAGCAGGGCATGCTCCATCACAGAGACATTAATAAGCTGTAACTGAAGTTAATGTGCCATGGCTAGGACATGTGGATCCAGTTAGGAGAAATCAGATTGAGCAGAAGTGAATCAATTTTAGGCTGCTTATTAGGATTTCTCCCCTCTGTCCTGCCCTGCCCCAGTGCATGCACTGTCTGTCTGTGCATCCTGCTGGCGATGAGCAGTCCCTGGAGGAAGGCAGGAGGAGAGAGCATCCCTCATCTCTGAGCAGCTCCATGGAACAGAGCCTCCTCTCAGGCTGTGCTCAGGCCAAAGAGGCACCAACAAGATGAGGTTTCTAGTTTTGAAGTGGCTTTTCCTTGCCTCAGTTCACCAATTACCTTTCTTAGGCTTTCCTTGGCTGCTTCTTTGCTTACACCAAAAAACTGAAGGGAAAGGCCCTTTGTGCTCCCCTGCTCCTTTCCCTGGTGCGTTCTCAGTGCCGTGCATGGATGCTCTCCAGGAGGATTTTCTCATCACGTGGCTTGGAGAGTTTGTGCTAGTGGAGCAGAACAATGTTGGCCAGCCTGTTATCCTGGTGCCAACAGCCAGGATGGGGCACTCCAGACCTGGAGGACCAAGGCCACCCCCAGAAGCACCTCCTACAATAAATGGAGCTGGAAATGGTCAGTGGTACCCACAAGCAGGGGATATTCTTTTCTGCATTTGTGGTGAGTTTTGAGATGTGGAAACAATTGATGCAGAATTGCTGTTAAAGATGAATGAATTCCTGGTCACTGCCTCCTTTTCTCAATGAAGGCAGCTCAGAGCACTTCCCCTGTGGCTGTAGCTCAGCTCAAACCATGGGTGCCAGCACAAAGCACATCCTGTTTGCACCTGAGGTGCTTTGCCCTGGTTGGACATTCCTTCTTCTGGCTCTGTTGTGGGAGACCTTCCAGCTGATCTTGACTTCTCCAGCAATGCTGTCTTTAAATTGGAGAAGAGGTTTGGTCTGTGTAAGAGTCTCTTGTTGAGGATCTTAAATTTTGTGTGGTGGCTGGTGAACATCTCTCCCTGAGGAGCAGGGTGGGACCTGCACCAAAGGGGAACAGGCAGGACCTGGGATGAATGATTCTGTGAGAACAGAGGCATTCCCAGCTGAGTTTGCCCAATCCCAGTGCTGGGGCATCACTCCCAAAACAGCCACAGGCTCACCCAAGCATCCCCCAAGAACAAGCCCAACACCCCTGCAGCCCTCAGCCATCTGCTGCCCACATTTGGCAGCTTTGGCATGACCACAAAAACCAGGGCAAGCACTGCCTGTGCCCGTCCCTGCTCCTTCCCCTTCATCTCCTGGCAGACAGAACTTGGGTCCCAGGAGGCAGCAGCATCCTCATGTCAAGGACAGCCAAGCCTGTGCCAGCAGAGCTCTGTGTTCCTCGGCCCATCCGCTCCTCCGTGCTGGGCAGCCCCTGAGAGCTGGATCCCTGAGCTTCCCAGGCATTCCTCTGGGCTGGAATTAGCTTGAGTTCCAGCAAAATCTTGCTCATGGTCATACAGTTAAATGAAGTTAATGTGCAGCAACTGTTTGCTGGAGTCCTGCAAAGGTTTCTACTCCCACTGCAGCAAGGTGGGGAGGAAACCTTCTGAGGGGGAGGGAG